CCCCCGCCTCTTTTTAATTTTTTTCTTAGGATAAAGGCCTGTAGAGCAGTGAACAGAGGGTACAACCAGGCAGTCCTGAGAAGAGGAAAAACACAAAACTGAAAACATCAGAAAAGACAGCCCGCCTCACTAAGAAGGAAATGCAAATCAGAACGCTACCAACTTCCCCCAGCAGACTGACAAGACTATTTAATAATGCCCATGGGGGCAGCAGGGCACCGGGAAATGGGTGCTTTCATACGTTGCTGGTGGAAATGTAAATGGCCAAACACTTAGAAAGGCAATCTAAGAGCACTTAATACGATGAAACCATGGTAGGTGCACTTACTGTATGCACTTTGGACCAACAATCCCAACTTGAGTTTATCCAAAGAATGAAAGCATTTGGGACACAGGTGTTAAAGGAGACTTATTGCAGAGTTGTGGCAGTTAAAACTGAAAATGTGGTATCCTTTCCAGGAGAAAAACAGCTAAGTAAGTAGAGCGCATCGATAATATTAGCTATTAAAAAGAAAGCAGATCTATGTTTTATAGAGACCAAATATTCGAGCAGTACCCCCCAAAAAACAGTATTGTGCTGGGCGGAGCGGAGCTTGCACAGTAGGTATTTTCTCGCTAGGCAAGCATCACGCAACTTGCTCTGAGTTAGTGCACCCAGTGCCATCCCCTGGGAAGATTCTCTGTGATCACAGTGAATTTTTTCATAAAAGCCGTTTTTCTCAAGCCACTAGCTCTCATACCCCTGACCATGCAGAGGCTGGGCCCACACAGCAGTGGGAGGACCCGAACCTCCAGGGGTGGCTCTTGAACAGTGCCCGGTGCTTGAAAGCACAGGCAGTTTTGGGGGCTGGCAGCATGTTATTTTTCTTAAGAGCAAAACAAAACATAAAAGGCCTGTAGAAATACAACAAAATGTTAAAGTTCTGATGAAGCATAATTATTTGTTCTATTGAAGCACTGCAGATATTCTATTCTCTATGTTTCTGTATGCTTAAAATATGATAGCAGTATCAAAAGAGAGAGAGAGTGGTGGTATAATTTGTGAAATATGAAAGTATCAGTTTAGATTTTAGAGGCCAAACAACTTTGGCTGTCTGACTATAGGAGAATTATAGGCTACTTAAGAAAAAATTTTTTTCCTATTATTTTACTTCTCTGTTGTTTCTAAATGTGTAATTGTGTTCTTTGACAAGGGGTGGGGGTTGGGGGAATGAGCAAGCCTTTCTTTACAGCATGTGTAATACCACACAGCTTCCACCAAATTTCCTACGGTGTGTGGGAGTAACAGTTGGCCTGGTGCCCTCTGAGCTGCGTGACCTCTGCACCGGGTCCCTGAGAGTCCCAAGGAGAACACGCATGCATGTGTGATGAGCTCACTGAACGGCACACATCCAAGTGGCTGCTGAGAGTTTGGACACTTAAGCCCTGGCGGCCTTCCCCTTGCTGGAAAGGCAGACTCTCCAGTGGTGAAGTGGTTACACCACAAGACATGGTTTCCCCTTCCCTGACCTTGTTTCGAGGCTTCGTGAGCTTCTTTTGTGATCCTGGGACTCCGCAATGGCCGGCCCACCGCAAGCATGTGTGACGCTTTAGGGAATCTCTTTGATTAGGCGGCGGGATGACATTTTCGTCGTTCGTGTTTTTAGGGAAACTTCTCCATCCGCACAACCAAGATGCAGCAGCATGTGTGTGAAACCATTGTCCGCATCTTTAAGAGACATGGTACGTCCTTTGGAAACAGACTCATTTCTTCTCAAAAGGTGTTTTCGTGTCTCTTCTCACAACCCAAATGTAGCATTAGTGGATGGGAGCACTAGATTCAGCGATTAACAAGGGAGAGCGTGTGGCGTTCAAGCTGCTTTCCCCGATTCAGCTTGGTGGGGAAAAGCTGATTTGGAGATGACAACCTTGCTACTGAAACACAGTGAGGTTTGTGAGTCATAGCTACGCCTAATTAGCAGGCTTCTCCAGAGAGGAGCTGCCTGCCCACTAGCAAACTGAAGACAATGGTAGATACACGGAGGACAAAGTCCGTGGTCCCAGCTTACTTAGCTGTCAGGTTTGTGTTCATTTTAAGTTGACAACATGATGATACTTTTTTTTTCCTAATTTGGGATAGGGGCTGTCGAAGTGTGCACCCCGCTTCTGCTTCCCCGAAATCGGCAGATATACGAGCACAACGAAGCCGCCTTCTTCATGGACCACAGTGGGATGCTGGTGATGCTTCCTTTCGACCTGCGGGTGAGGCTGGGGCTCTGTTGGCCCACTGGGCACCATGTCTGGTCACAGTGCGGTGTGAAAGGATGACCTCCCCCGTCAGCCTTTTCTCTAAGCGCATATTCGACATGCCCCCTTTAAGAAAGTGACTCTGAAGAGTGTTCTCAGACTGACGACAAATCGAGACTGTAGTAAACATGCTTTGACCCTATATTAAGGTGACCAGATGTCCCGCTTTTGGCGGGACAGTCCTGATTTTTAACAATTTTTCCCACGTCCTGCAGCGTTTTTAAAAAGTCCCGATTTTTGGAAAGAATGCACAACAAGCTAGGGTATATGGTTTTCAGCTGCCATGTGGCTATTTTG